GTGCCATCTGCTGACTGGGGGTTCTCATGCTGGCTGGGCCTTAGAACCACTCACCTAATTTTTTAGGGCCTTGTAAACCTAGGAGGTCGTTTGTCTTTGTTAGGGAAAAGATTTAGCGAGGAATATACCCTTGCAGCATAATTAGCCCCAGGCCTGTCTGTCCCTGAGGGGATTCTTCCTATCTTAGCAAAACACTGGCAACCTGGGGCTCAGGGCCCTGTCAGGCTAGAGAGCCTCACTCACCTAACACAACATCTGTGGGATGCACAGGTCTTCATTGCAGCTACCGTGAAGAGATCCACTTATCCCCAAAGCAAAACAAAGGAGCAGGTATTGCCAGCATCAAGGTCGACAGAATTGTGAAAACTCCAACTAACAACTAGCAAGAATTTGGAGATTCTTAAGTTTCCACCATTGTACTTTTGGGTTAAAGGAACAAAGTGCTGTACCAAGGAAGCGGAGACCTTGTTGCGCCTGCTACTGCTTCCAGAACGTGCCTGAACTTGACTTTCAAAAGGCTTTGTAAGCACAAAGGCTAGCTGGCTGCCAGCTCACCTCAAAACGTCGGAAGGAAATGCTCCAAAGACAGCTCGCTCCTTCTAGGACATGCTTTCCTTCTGCCCACCTACCACCAAAAATGCGAGGAGATGGTGACTCCCCAGCCCTGCGAGTTTACAGCGTTTGGCCATCACGTGACCTTCGGCAACCTAAATAACCTTTATCCCGACTTTTCCAAAATGTGGATTTCAGTTCTTCCTCTGTGGTCACTCAGCAACTAAATATCCTCTATCAAGTGAAGAAGACTGGGACTGTGACAATGCAGCTGGCTCTGCATCACCCGTGTCGGCTCGCAGACCTATGTCTCATACGGCTTCATGATGGTCCTTGCAGCCCCTGGCTTCAGCGCCCACCGTAAAGCCACACAGCATCGTTGAAGCCTTTCAAGAAAGCAACTACTTTCCTTCAAACTGAGCTAAATGATGTCATCAAAGCAAGAATCGGGACAGAGATGGCAGATCCAGCAGACTCATCCAGTACCACTCATTAAGGTTCTGACCAAATCCACAGGAGACTGCTTTATACAGAGTCCTCGAAGTGACACTTGGGAGGCACAGAAACAACTCTCGTCTCGATCCCTTGGGATACCTGTCCTCTTGCTGAACTCTTACCTTGGTCATACAAGGCCCTTTGTAATTTTATGCTCATCTGGGTAAGATCAATATTTATCATGTGTCTCCTAGGCAAGTCAGTGCCTTGTGGGGCACGATGCTATAGGTGTGATGCTGCTCCCCACCCCCATCCCTGATCCTGAAATCAAAACCTGTGAATTACACCAGACAGACTGGCAATGATCTCGAGCCCCTGCGCTACACCGTGGATGCCACACTGCGATCTCCTCTCTGTTCCCTGTGAAACCGTCCCCACTCTTCACAAGCGCACTCAAGTCGCCTGGCGTTGACTCCAGTTTGGTTTCTGTGCAGCACAGCTGTGGCACGTTTACATAGACGCTCCAGTACTTTACAGTGCTTCTGACAAACACTGTCACCTCTCCCCCGTACTTTGGTCCGAGCTTCAACTCGACAACTCAAGCCTCTTGAAATGTTGCTTTGAGACCACAGTACAAAGAAGCTTTGTCAAGCCTAGTGGAGAATCAGAAATGAGATGGAGAAGAACCCAGCTGCCCCAGGCTACACCAACAGGAGCCACCGGAAATTGAAGGCAATCTGAAAGATCCACCGGAGACGAGCTAACAGACAAATGATTGATCGTCATGAGCCAGAAGCAGCAACACCCGGCTGAGCCAGCTCCATTCTGCAGAACCACAAGCAAACACGAGGCACTGTTCTAAACCAAAACGTGTCGAGCTGGTTTCTGCGTAAGCAATAGGTAGTGCAAACAATACAATATTCTCTCTGGAATCCTGGAAAGGAGGAGGAAAATCCTTTTTCTCCCATTCGCTACTGTTAACTGAAAACTGTGGGCAGCCGTTGGTGTAGACAAGGCTCGTGTACTGGTCCCGACAGACAGACCGTGACATACCAACACAGCTTAATTACAGTGGCTGAGCTTTTGTTAATTGCAGGAGGCTCTGTAACCAATTACGCTACATCCAGTTGCGTCTCTACTTCATTTCAAGTTTCCATAAATGCTGTCACCTCACATTGTTGGTGGGAGTCCGCAGAACGCGCTCCGACGCTGGGGGCTGCCCGATTCACAAATCCTTTTTTGCTTTGTTTCATTTTTCTTTTATCAAATAAACCATGAAATTTAATTAGTCTAAGGAATTTGCCTTTTTTTTTTTTTCTTAAACCATTATTTGGGTCTCAAGTGACACAACCTTCCTCTGGACGTCCTCTGACGCCCCGGGGGTCGGGCAGATGCTTCTGATGGGCTCCTCCGGACCCCGCGCTTTTCCCCATTGGGCTTCGCAGTGCATGGCTGTAATGCTTGTTTCCTGCCCCAGGTCGAAGGCTTGCTGAGCCCAGCACCAGGCGGCCTCCCTCACTGCCATGCTCCCAGCACCCTGCTTAGCACAGGTCAAAACGTGGGAAGGAGTTTCTGCTTCCTCGTCGCATCAGCAAACCCAGCCTTCATGCATCCTCTCACCAAGCCTCCCGATCCCTTACAGAATGGTGCTGAGACACACTCCTGTCTCCTCCTACTCCGAGGTCTACAACTAATCAACCCCTCCACACACACACACACACACACACACACACAACAGTTCAATACAGGTGCTACTACGCTAGCTTAGATCCTCTCTGCAAACTATGCTGTGAACACCGAGATCAGGTACTTAGCCTAGCTATTGTGATGCGCACTGAGACTCTTGACTCCAGCTTCCTGCCCAAGCAGACCCTGGGAGGAAGCATTTACGGCTCATGTGGTTGGGCTTCTGCAAACCACTTGAGAGTCCTGGATCCTGTTCCAGGCTCTGACGTGGATCTGGCCCGGCCCGGCCCAACCCAGCCCGGCCCGGGCTCTCACAGGCCTTTCAGAATTGAACCAGTGAATGCGAGCTTACTCCCTCTCCTGCTCAGCCTTTCCAATACACTAAAACAAAATAAAAAGCTGAGGGCCTGGAGATACCTGGCCCAGAGTGCCACCTGGTGGGTCTATTTCCTTGGTAAGCTTCTGGTTTCCAGAGCACAGCCTCAAAATGCTAGGACAAAGGCTTAGAAGCTCCAGAAGTGTTTTGACCATGGTAAGAGAAACATCATCCCAACAATGGCTTAAAGCTCTATTCTTCTTCTAATGACGCTTTCAGCATATGTTAACTTATAGGATAACCTTATTTTTATCAGGATAGACTCTTTGCTGCCAAAATAGTTTCTGCAAAGACTCCAGGGTCACTGCTGATTCCCATCTTATCTGGAGTCAAGAATATGAGTTGATTCCATTTTAGGAACATTTTTATAGAATTAAAACCAGCATGTGCATTTAGCCAGGCTGTAAAAATTTGTTAGAAAGCTAAAACTGCCCAAGGCAACGCTCCTGAGAACTCTAAGTCTACATGGCACAGTGCATCCCACAGAAGTAGAACCTGCCTTTGACAGGAGCATTTGCATTTGGTACTTGGCATGCACTTACTGAACTCAGTGAGTGGTATTGTGTTTGGGAAAGAAACAGTGACAAATGATACTAAATTCCTTCCAGAGACAAACATTCTCCTGTTGTTCTACTGTTACAGGACAAGCCGGGGCTGTTCAAAGAGCAGCGGGTTTCTAATCAGGTAAATGTGGCGTTCAGCACTAGGCGGTCATGTGGCCATGGAGAAGCGACCACAAGGGGCTACTGACCAACAACATTGAGCTGCCTGAGTCTATCAGCATCTATGCAAACACAGACGTGCTCTCCTTTGTCGTGAATCTGGGGTCATCCTGCACACACAGACGCACACACGCCAGCAGCCTTCGCCTTATCCACCTGCTTCCCCCTCAACACAGACCCTGCCCAACTTGACCCCCCCACACACTGAAACACATTCCCTGTGATGACTGCTGCGTAAAAGGAGACACGCAAAGGTGGCAGACCCCTCTCCACCTTGAAAGACTGGTCCGGTACTCTTGCCTCAGCTTGCACAACCTGGGTGGGAAACCACGTGCGGGTGGCGGAGTCACACCTGCGTGGACAGCCCAAGGACAGCTTGTGAATAGATGTCTGCTCGGGAGTGGAGAAAAGACCTGAGATTTTCCCTACCCAAAGATGCTGACCCAGACCACACTCCTCTGAAGCAGAGCCTCAGCGCCCTCTGCTGGTCCCTAAGCATAGTCCATGTGCCGTGCGGCCACTGGAGCTGTTGGAGCATCCTTGGGCACATGCTGCCCTCTCCTGGTTAGTCAGGGTCTCCAGGATGCCACCGCTCCGGCTGTACTCCAGAGTTTACTACTGGAAGGGTGAGAACGCCAAGGTAAGGCGAGGTGGCTGTCAGCAGAGCATGAGTGACCTCGAAACGCTCTCTGGACCCACTCCTGCTACACGAAACCCCAGTCTTGTTCAACTTGAGCACTGGCCTGGTCGGTGAGCCTTCTATACCAGGAGCGCACAATACGTGATCCTGTTCGTCAGGGGTCTGAATTAACCAACCTTAACCAGCGGTAATTTTTACACGCATGGAAATGTGTGTTCTGCAGGAGCATGTGTTGTCATACTCATTTTTTACTTCACGGTAGTTTAGCAAATGGTAGCCACTCACCCAAACACCTGTGAGTGCTGCTTCAAAATGTTACGGAAAGCAAAACAGTGCTTTATTTCAGTATAAAACATCTCGAAAGCCACTCATAGTTTTTCCCTAACACACTTTCATGACCGTCTGGAGGACCCCCCCCAATTCGGAACCTTTCACTCTGCTCTATATGACACAACCTTTGTTAGGCACAGAATACAGCCTCCAGGACCAAATCCCCCACTTGCCCAAGTCCCTTACGTAATATGGCCAAGTACTGCCTGTAATCTACAGGGTCCTCCAGTTTACATTTTTTAAAAAAGATTTCATTTATTTTAAAGTTAGAGAGGGAGGGAGAGACAAAGACAAAGAGATCTTCCATAGCTGGTTTACTCTTCAAGTGGCTATCCTGGTCGCCCATGCAGGTGGCAGGAGCCCAAGTACTTGGGACATCTTCAGCTGCTTTCTTGGGTGCATTAGCAGAGAGCTGGATTGGAAGTGGAGCAACCAGGGAACCAGTGCCCACATGCGATGCTTGTGGTGCAGATGCAAGCTTCACTCACTGTGCCATGAAGCTGTTTCTTCTAAAATAAAATTAAAAAATAAAAGATTTATTTGAAAATCAGAGTTAGAGAAGGAGAGGAAGAGAGGAAGAGAGAAGGAGAGGCAGAAAGAGGGAGAGAGGCAGAAAGAGAGGCAGAGAGGGAGAGAGGCCCTCCATCCACTGTTTCACTCCCCAATTGGCTGCAGTGGCCAGATCTGTGCTGATTTGAAGCCAGGAGCCTCCTCCGGGTCTCCCACACAGGTGCAGGGGCCCAAGGACTTGGGCCATCTTCTACTGCTTTCCCAGGCCACAGCCAAGAGCTGGTTCAGAAGTGGAGCCCACATGGAATGCCGGCGCTGCGGGCTGTGGCTTAATCCGCTTCGCCACAGTGCCAACCCCCCTCCCATCTATTTTAAATCATCTCCAGATTACTTATAGCTAATACAATGTAAAATCTATGCAAATAGTTATTCTGTATTCCTAGGTAAAAACCAAAGTCTATACATGTTCAGTAAGGGTACAATTTTTTCCCCATATTTTCAACCCAAGGTTGGTTGAATCCACAGATAACAGAATCCATACATGCATGAATAACTGTAGTCAGAACACTGAACTTTAAAAATGGACAAAGACAAAGACAGTGGCAAGTCTCAGGCACAGCCATTAAAATTCCACTTGGGACCCCTTCATCCCATCCGATGTACCCGGGCTCGAGTTCTGCTTCCGATTCCAGCTTCCTGCTAATGCTCACCATGAGAGGCAGCGGGCAATGACTCAGGTTCATGGGTTCCTGCCACACACACGGGAGACCCAGACCGAGCTCTGGGCTCCTGAACTTACCCTGATCTAGCTTTGGCTGTCGGAGTGTCAATGGACGAGTGAACTAGTGGATGGAAGATCTCTGCCTGTCTCTCCAATGAAATGCAAACTAGCAACTAAAACTTAAAAAAAAAAAAAAAAAAACTAAAACAGAAGTGGTTTATAATCCTCTCTCCTGTTGACATTCCAAAATTTCAAGTTCTACCATGTGTTCATTTAGAGTGTGGCATGAAAGGCAGAACAAGTGCACCCCTCATCCTGTCCTCCTTGCTAACAGCAGCCAGTGCATATCACTCCTCCAGCGGCCCTCCAGGTTAAAAATTAAAACACGGGCCACGTGAACGTGCACAGTAGGAATGCCAGTGTGCAAATCCCGTGTGAATGCAGTGACTCTGTACTGTCTACTCTTACCACCAGGCACCCACATCTTGACAGGAGGTCCCCACCTCCAAGGCTCACGCTATGGGTTATAGCTTTGGGGTCCTCTAAGGGTCATCTCTAATGGTGGTTTCTGATGGCCCTGGCCATCCATCCTGAACCAGATCTGTGAATTCTGGACCTTCCTAAGGGTCCTCGGCCTTTTCCACGGCATGCTTGGGATGGGTGAGTGGGTCAGGGGTGCTCTCCACCAACCCTGGCCACATGCATCTGACAGTGGGCAGTGGCTCAGTCCCGAGTAGAGAGAGAAGACCCAGGGGCTGGGGGGGGGACACAGGACTCTGCCCCCTCCAGCCTGAGGGCAGCAGACCACCTGCCTCTCTCACTCGCTTCTCAGGAGAGAGGAAGCGTCTTTTTCCTACCCCAATTTTGACAAAGACGTTCTATTTTCACCCAGACCTGAGTGTCTTCTGCACTATGGCCTAACACTTGGCCAAAACTGTGAGGAGGAACGGCGACATCTAATTTTTGCTTGGTTCCCTTTCTCTTCAGAGGCAATCAGGAGAGGACCAATAAAGAGACATCTCAGAAATGGTACAGAACACATCAAGCATCCCCAAAACTCACCCCGATTTATCCATCCTGTTATTTTTGCTGTGAGTGCGGTTCTATGGTTGGTTTCAAACTCGAACTACCATGGTGGTTTCCAATTGGGGCTAATGAAAAATGCTATAAACGTTTAAGTAAAATTTGAGGGTATTTTCATTTCTCTTGGGTAAAGGCCTAAAGCCCTAACGGGAATTCCTGGGTGACATGGTCAATGCGTTCAACGAATCATCAGTGTGCCAGGCAGGGCAGGTGCACCCTCTTGTACTTCTACCAGCAGGGTTTGAGCATTGTCATCTCTCTCAATCATCTCCAACAGGCCCTATTACATTTTAGTAAGCATGTGTCGATTTATTTTTTAGGCACCGATTTTTACTTTAATAAAATCTTTGCTTATAAAACACAAGCACAGTTGGTGTATCTCAAATGAAGGCAAAAGTAACAACAGTTGTTACTTTATAACCACATACAAGTTTCTTGACTGTCTTTTCTGTACGGACATGTTTTACATAATTAGAATTCAGCATAAGTAATCATTCTTGCTGTGCAGATTTCAAGAGTTCAAAAATTTCTCAATGTTAAGTATCTTTTAACTATTAAATACTTATCCATAAAATACATTACAAAATGCTTTTAAAACTTCAGTGTTCTTGCCAGATTTTTTATACAAAGTTCACAGTATTTTATTTCCTCTGAATGTTGAGTCATGGATAACCAAGCCTTCGCCTGAGATGCAAGAGGATCTCACCCATTTTTTTCTTCTTGGACGAACATGGTTTCTTCTTCCCACTTTCGACTCCTCATCTATTTATCCTCGCTCATGGTTACACATGGATCCAATTTCAACTTCTCTCAAATAACTATTCAGTTAAGAGTTATTCTCATGTTCTATTCCTTCCTGCATCAAATAACTGTGTCTTGATTATCTTTAAATGTCTGCACTAACTGTAGTAGTGAAACGGAAAAAAATACACCTGGGTGGTTGATTTTTTAGCAATTTTTTAAAGATTTATTCTTATCTGAGAGGCAGATTGACAGAAGCAGGAAAATTAATCTTAAGCTGCTGGTCTACTCCCCAGATGGCTTCAAAAGCCCAGGCTGGGCAGAAGTCAGTGGCCAGGAACTCCACCTGGGTCTTCCACGTGGGTGGTGGGGGCTCAGGAATCTGGACCATCATCCACTGCTTCCCAGGTGCATTAGCAGGGGGCTGGCTTGGAAGCGGAATAGCCAAGACTCACACTGGAAGTCTCATGTGGAATGTGGCATCCCAGGCGTTGGCTCAGACCTCTGTGCCCCAACTTTTGCCCTGGATGATCGATTCCTTTCTACCAACATCAAGCACAGAGCACAAGCGATTACATTTTACTTTTAAATTCCCAGTCTCCTGGAGCCAGCAAGTCAAATGAACAAGGTTGTCTTTGACAACACGACTGCTGGGAACACTAACACCATGTAGCAATACAGATGGAGAGAATTCTTCAACAGCCATCATGAGCTGGTTAGATACTCCAGCAATGCTCCCTTGTCACGAGGACTGCTCAGTCACTTCTCATAATGAAAACTAGTCTGTGAGATAATATAGAGACTGGCCTGAGGAAACCTCATTCCTTAATTAGAATTGAAGTTGTCAGCACAAAAATATATGTGTCAACGTTGACACTTCATCCAAGAATGCTGCGCATAGTTTGCTAATCAGAGGATGCTCTGTTAGGCCCCTAGAAAACCACCCTACAGTATCAACACGTAATGAAAATGAATGCCATCTGTCATTTGCCGATTAGAGAGTGGTCACCATAGCAGAAGAGCAGGTTTAGAAAAGAAATCCTAATTTTGCATGATTTGGAGGTGGGCAGGCAATGTCCCATGGTGCTGAGGGCCAGCAGTGGGCTCCATGGAGGGAAAGGTTGTTTGGCCCAAGACCATGAGAGAGGCCCTTCTAGTCCTGAAGAGCTTTTGGATGTGACGTTTTACTTTATGGGAAAAAAAAATCAAATTACTGAGGAGCTGTCATTTTTTGTTTAATTCTGACCACAATGGAGATGATGAATTGGAATGAGCAAGAACAGAGGCAGAATGAGGAGGTTTTTTTTATTTATTTAATATTTAATTTGGGGCCTGCACTGTGGCGCACTAGGTTAATCCTCCACCTGCGGCACCAGCATCCTACATGGGTGCCGAGTTCTAGTCCCGGATGCTCCTCTTCCAGTCCAGCTCTCTGCTGTGGCCCGGGAAGGCAGTGGAGGATGGCCCAAGTGCTTGGGCCCTGCACCCGCATGGGAGACCAAGAAGAAGCACCTGGCTCCTGGCTTCGGATCAGCATAGCTCCAGCTGCAGCGGCCATTTGGGGAGTGAACCAACTGAAGGAAGACCTTTCTCTCTCACTGTCTAACTCATCTGTCAAATAAAAAAGATTTAATTTATTATTTGAAAGTCATAGTTACACAGAGGAGTGGCAGAGAGACAGAGAAAGAGAGGTCTTCCACCCGATAGTTCATTCCCCAAACGGCCACAATGGCCGGAGCTGCACCGATCGGTAGCCAGGAGTTTCTTCCGGGTCTCCCACATGGGTGCAGGGGCCCAAGGACTTGGGCCATCTTCTACTGCTTCCCCAGGCCACAGCAGAGAGCTGCATTGGAAGTGGAGCAGCTGGGTCTCAAACTGGCACCCATATGGGATGCCGGTGCTTCAGGCCAGGGCGTCAACCCCACTGCGCCACAGCGCTGGCCCTGAGAAATGAGATTCTTACATTAGCCAAGAAAGTGGCAGTGACAACTTGACCACTGAGAAACACACCCAACAGATACAAAAAGATAGCCACTCCATGAGTTTACAACACTACCGTGAATTCTGCTTTACAGGTTCAGATACTTGGTCTTTCAATGTAATGCTCAAGAACCACACCACCTATTCGCTCCTTAAGACCCCTGGGCCATATATGGACCCAGAGGGCTTTGGTGAACATTCAAAGGGCATCAGTACTTCTATGAAAGCCAAAGAGAATTCTTGTCTGCAAGCCAGTGATCTGTGACCTTTTGAAACAGGGCCTTCGACATGTCAAAGCAATTGCCATCTCCTAGAGCTAAGGAGCCATGAGTGTTGACACTTTCAGTGGATGATGTTCAGTCGATCACCAGTCCAGCCACAGTCCACCGGCTCAACAGTTTGACCGCATGCCGGCCACTCGTCTATTACAGTGATTATTGTTCAGCTTTACCTGGTAGAAACCGATGGCTCAAGGGCCTGAGGCTTAAGGCCAATTACAATGAGAGTAGAGTTCATTAGTCTATAGAGCTGTAGCTTCTGAAATTCCAATGGAACAGGTCTTCCGATAGTCAGAGGACCCTCAGGATACAGTCTAAGTTAGACAGACTTTGGCCCAGATGGACCAAGCTGGGCTCCTTTGTTCTGCTTCTGACTTCAGACAAAACACACAACTCCAAGACTCCAGCTCTTTACCCACCTCTGAGAACTGGGCAAATGAGGAACTTCCAGTACAATTAAAGTGCACGAGAACCAACATCATAATCCAAGCCCCATAATGAAGCTCACCACCTCACACATGTCTAACTGCACTTTTCCAAACTGACTGAGCCTACAGTCCCCTACAGTATCCAACCCAGCCCCACGCTCAGTTCTTGCTGTCTTTCTTACTTTGCTGCTATCATCGAAGCCTCTTTTTCTCAAATACACAGCATTCTAGTGCCTTGGGCTGCCGCCTTGGTTTCCAATCACTTCTCCATACACACGCACACTCACACACTGCCCACAGCCACGTAAACCTTTCAGTCTTCAGATCTAAGACTGCAAGTCAGCTCTTGCAGGGAAACCTCCGTGGACTTCCCCAAGCCAACAGCGGACTCCTGCAATCCCACTGGTGGCGTGCTGACGTTGACCAGAACAGCTCGAAGGTCATTACAGCCTCCTTTATGTGACAGTTTGCTCAGTGTCTCTGTTCTCTGTTAGCCTCAAAGTTCCTGGAGGATTAGGACAGACCTCTAACTCGTTACATATTCCTCATCATGACCACAGTACTCATGGGCACACAATAGGTAGCTGACAATTATTGGAAAAAGAACAAGTGAGCGAGTAGAGCCCGGTAGACGTACCTCTTACTTATCTGGTTAACTGCAGCAGCAGACAAGCAGAGGAAGACACTGAACTGGAACTTGGCAGTGGATTGCTGATGCCAACGCTCAGAGATCACCATACTGGACGATTTTCGGGACCGTTCGTTCGGTCAACTGCTAAGGAAGGGAACATAGAGAGGAAACAGGATTGACCAAAGGGAGAGATGAAATCAGCAGCTCGCTTCAGGGCCAGTTACACAGAGGACTCTTGGCTCGGTCAACAGGGCCTTGTCTTTTTATCTGAGGAATCTTCTGTATTTAAGGCCAGCAGTGATGACATATGGCCTGCCCCAGGTCAGCGGAGGGACCTCGGGAGAGGCCTCCGAGGCCATTTCTGAAGGCGACCGACAGCCCAGAGCAGCTTGGCAGCATCTGCAGGAATCCCCCTCAGTCTCCCGAGCAGGACCCGAGCGCTGCAGCCCAGTATCCGCCGCAGCGGTCAGTGAGCACGAAGGACGCATCTCTCGGCAGTGTCCTGGGGGGCTGTGCTTGGCACTGGGTTTGGCACACTGGCTGCTGCCGACTTCAGTCAGGGGCCATACAACGCATGCAGTTAGAAAAGGCACCATTGTGGCTTCTTTCTGAACCCAGGAGCAAGTGGGGATAACTCAGCTGGAAGGGAACAGAACTCAGAAGCACATCAACGGGTGTCCAGATCCACAGGTTCAAGGTTGTTTTTGTTTTTTGTTTGTTTTTTTTCCCCCCCAAAGAGGGTCCTTTTCTTAAGGAAGAAAAGGAAAGAGATTTGAAAAAGTTACAGAGGGAGAGACAGAAATTGAGAGCTATCTCCCATCCGCTGGCCCACTCCTAAAAAGGCTGCAACAGCCAGGGCTGGGCCAGACAAAACCAGGAGCCAGAAACTTCATCCAGGTCCAGGTCTCCCGTGTGGGCAGCAGGGGCCCAAGCTCTTGGGCCATCTTCTGCTGCTTTCCCTGGCTAAAGCAGAGAGCTGGATCTGAGGTTGAACAGCTGGGACTCCAACTGGCACCCATTGTAGGCAGTGGCTTTACTCGCTATGCCATGGCACAGGCCCCCATGGACCCAAGTTTGAACAGGTTATTAGCTACGAGAACTTTTGCACACTGAAAATTTCTCAGAACCTTATTGCCTCAGTTTCCCTATGGATAACAAAGTGACCCAAAGCATCGATAAAAATGACTGTTATGCCAGGTATTTTCCTTAGATGAATTCCCTTTCTATGCCCCTCTCCCCAACCCACCCTCCCACAGCAGCAGGTGCTGCCTAACCCGTGGATGCCTTTTGCAAGCTATTTCACCCCATCCAACTCCTACTGCTGCACAGCCCTAGTCATTAGCAAACCCTCATTTGTGTTTCTGGTTCCTTTAGCCCATGACACATGCTCAGATGTACAAAGATGATTTTCAGTACTCTGGTCCCCTTCTGAATATCCTTAGAACCTTCAGCCGGAACCCTCATGACATACATTCTAGACTACTGTATCACAACTCCCTACTCATTTGAATGAGCTTCATTTGGTTAAAATTCAATTCAACCTGAGTTTACTCAGTTTACTCAAGTTTTATAAAACATTCTAGGAAGGGTCACAGCAGAACTGCAATATTCTTGCTCTGAATAATAGAGACCTAACAGTAAGTTTAAAGATGGGCATTTGACACAGCTACTAATATTCCACTTAGACCTCCCTCAACTGCACCTGCATCAGTGTCTGGATTCAATTTCGAACACACACTATTCTTCCGATTCCAGTTTTCGGCTACTGTGCATCCCGGGCAACAGCAGGTGATGGTTCCAGTGCTTGGGCCCTGCTACCCACGTATGAGACTCACGCTGAGTCCCAGGCTTTGGGCCTCGCCTGGCCCAGCCCTGGCTATTGCACAAATTTCAGGAGTGAACCGGCAGACAGAAGATCTCTGTCAACCTATCTGCCTGTCTTGGTCTCTCTACTAAATTAAAAAAGAAAACTCAGTTACCAAAAAAGCATACACACTGACTCTGGTCTTCCAGCGTGATATAGGCGTTCCATTTATCCACGGCAATACTTGTCCTGACTTCTGCTTTTCGAGTTCCCATGCATTTGTCCCCCCTCTCCCCGTCCATGACAGATTCAGCCTGCAGTTTGTTGTGCAACGTCATGCATGGGAAATCTTGGCTCACCACTCCGTAGAGCCCACTAATTCTTTTTTCGATATTTCTTTTCACAGTCTCATTTTAAAACTTATTTACAGTATTTATCATGAAAAATACCTTGTCATTAGAAAATGCAGAAATAGAAAAAATCCTAGAAAATATACCTGCTTGTCAAAGCCTTTATTAAAAATGAGTATTACAGGGCTGGCACTGTGGCAGAGTAGGCTAAGCCTCCACATGCGGTACCGGCATCCCATATGGGCGCTGGTTTGAGTCCTGGCTGCTCCTCTTCCAATCTAGCTCTCTGCTATGACCTGGGAAAGCAGAAGATGGCCCACGTGCTTGGGCCCCTGCACCTGTGTGGGAGGCCCAGAAGAAGCTCCTGACTCCAGATCATATCAGCTCTCGCTGTGCAGCCATTTGTGGGGTGAACCTGTGGAAGCAAGACCTCTCTCCATCTCTCTGTAACTTTCAAAAAATATTTAAAAGGGGGGTATTAGAAGTTTAGATCTATGTTTCACGCATTTTCAACCAAGTAAGTTTTGAATTTAGACATTCTGAAAAAATGTGGAGAGTAACCCCCCCCACCCCCACTGTGGGGAGCAACTCGGACTAGACTAAGTTACTGGAATTAAGACTTATTCTATACATCTGCTCTCCCACAATATGGTGCTGGGAGAGGAGTAAACAACTTCTACACAGCTGCCTCTCGCCAATTTGACTGATGAGCTGCAGGAGCTGATCTTGCTCCTGATTGGAGGAGAGCAGCGTACTCGGCGTGTGGGTAGCAGAGTTGGGATTGGTGGAAGAGGACTATAAAGGAGGAGAGAGACAACATGCACCAGGAACATCCGGATAACATCTGAGCAGCCCCCGAGAGAGCCGGCCGGCGGTGTGCTGCTCCCCCGTGGAAGTGGGGAAAGTGGCAGGGGGAGCCGCCCCTCCACGGAGGTGGAGGGATCAGCAGCCAACCCGGGAAGGACCAGCAGCAAACCCAGGAAGGGCCGAGCAGACAAAAAGAACAGCGCAGGGTCTAGTGTCGTACCTCCGCGAATGGGGGAGCGACATAATGGTGCCGTGACTCAGATATGAAGCCTAGGAGGGATAATGGTGCCATGACTCGGATAGGAAACCTAGGAGGGAAGAAGCGGGAAGAAGCGGGAAAATACCGGAGAGAGAGACTAGCAAAGAGCCTAGGGAAAAGCCGGACGGAAAAAGTGCCGGGAGAAATCTAGGGTTGAAAGTGAAAGCTAGAAGAAACAGACTGGGATACGGACTGTGGGGAGAAGCCAGGAGAAATGAGAGAAATATTGTTGGAAGAAACTTAGGGAAAAGTACCGGGTAGAGAAAGATATAAGCTAGGGAAAGTGAAGCCGCGGGGGCAGGCCGAAGTGGAGACGTAAGCTAGGTTGGGATTCGTCAAGTCAGCCCGGGGAACAAAAGGTGAAAAACTAAAACCAGAAGCGGAGACGTAAGCTAGGTTGGAATCCGTCAGATTAGCCCGGGGAGCAAAAGACGGGAAGTCAAACCAAAAAGCGGAGACGTAAGCTAGGTTGGAATTCATCAAGCCAACCCGGGAAGGACCAGCAGCAAACCCGGGAAGGGCTGAGCAGACAAAAGAACAGTGCAGGGTCTAGTGTCGTTCCTCCTCGAAGAGGGGGAGCGACACCCCACCCTGTGGCTCTTTCATCCAGGGGGCCACAAAGCTCTCCACTGGCGCTCATCTCCACCTCGTCAGAGACACAACGGATCCAGGCCACTGGACACAGGTATTTCATCTGCACAGCTGTGCTTATTCTCAAAGCAGAGAGTCGACAAGCCCCTGAATAGGGCAGGCCAGGAAATGGCCATTTCATTCTCAAGTCAATGGCATTGAAACCAATACCTTCATTTCTCATTTATAGGCGAGTTGGTGAAGATCAGAGCAGAAAACTTGTCTTGCTCACACGTGTAGTCCTGAAGATCCATTTGTGTGTGTGTGTGTGCGTGTGTATTCCACCGCAAGAACAGATGTGCTGAGGAGGCATTTGGAAGCTGTTCCTATTGTTAATTCAGGGATTCTCAAACTGGAGCTCTCCAGCACCTGATGAGCCTGATAAACCCACGCTGCTGGGCTGCACCCCGAGTCTCCAGCGCAGTGAGTCTGGGTCAGGGCCCTTCACTGGCATCTATTAAGTTTATTAAGTTCCCAGGTGAGGCTGCTGCTGCTGGCCCGGGGGTAAGTCCCCCAAAGCACTACTTAACTCAGCGGGTCTTGTTCCTGGTTGAGAGGTTTGCAATCCCAAGTGCATGTCATCTACTTACCTGGGCACCAGCCCAAACGGACTCATTCTCTGTTGGGCGATAGTGGGCACGGGCATCTTCAGAGCTTCTGCGGAGCCTAGCGTGCAGCCTGCAGCAACAGTGGTCGGCAGAAAACACAGGTCTCCCAGTGCTCAAGGTCACCAACATTCCCGCAGACCCGATGGCTGGCACCTCCCTTCCCTGGGCTTCCGGCCAACACATCAACCAATAACTAAAGTCTTGAGATTTTTACCTAATTTGGCCCTGAGGGCCCTCTGGGGAGCAGCTACTGACTAGCCCTGCCCCGTTGAGGCTGCAGGGGAGGTAGTTACCTTAGCGGAGACGGGTGGGCTAAGTTGTTGTCTTGCACGACAAAGAATTCAGACGCGAGACAGAGCAGTGGTAAGCTAGCTAGCAAGGTTTAAAGGGGTTGGGTATCCAGCAGAACGGATGGGACAGAACCTCAGGGTGCCCAGTCACTCAGACTGCAGACAGCAAGGTTACATGGTTACATGGAGACAACACACCTGGCAGCCCAGGCAAGCGGCTCAGCGGAGAGCTCAATGCTGAGCACTTGGTCTGTATGCAGACCAGGGCTTGGAAGGGAAAGGGGGCCAGGTCTTCTCACCATTTCTCCTTCCTCTCCGCCTCCAGGACAAGGAGTTTGCTCAGTGTGAATTAGGTGAAATTCCTCCTAATGTCAGACTGGAGAGCCCATCTGGCCT